CACGAGGAATGCGAGGACCCTGGACAATATCATGGATGAGCTCAGAGCAGTGATTAAGTTCCAGAAGGAATATGGTGAGTGTAGTATGATGTGCTCCAGAGAGACATTGCTACACTTTCTGGACTGCATTTAGACTGTGCCGAGCCCCTAGAATGTGTCCATCTTACTTACAGAGGAAACTTTCTCCTGTCACAGCAGTCTGAATTCAATCTGAACGCACTGTTTGTATTCCTTCACTACCAAATTGCTCTGGCAATCAGTTGAGCAACCAAATTTGGCACACAGATAAATCTTAAACCCATTAAGTTTCTTATTTACATGGCAAATAATGACATTATCATGCTGCCTAGCAACCACATACCACTGGGTTAAAATGACCCATTTCTAGCATTTATGCACCTAAGAAACCTTATTAAAACATTCTGTCATTTTAATTTCACAACATCTTCCCATCCACAAAAAATTGAATAGTGCATGACATGTGTCATAGCAACCATCTACCAACAGACTACAATAACAATTACACAGCAGAGCAGGGGAGCAACAACAAAAAAAAAAGGGCAGTAACTATATTTAACTGTATTATCTCAATATGATTAAGTAAATCACTTTGCCAACAGCACAAACAGACCAAACAATAATGTAGCTTGTTTTTCACATCCAAAATTTTAGTACAGTATCTTATCCTTAAAGTTTTCCTTCTCACCATTATGCATTTTACTAACAAAACTAATATGTAAATTTTAAGAGCAAAGTTTGAAAGTGACTTGTGATCAATGTCGTGCTCACAACTTACCGGAACAATATTTAGGTATGCCGCAGCTCGATTTGCATACAGCTTTTCTAGTAAACCTGTTTGAACACAGATATCTTCTGATTCAGCATAATCTGCTATATTCAGTGCTTCAGTAAACATCTCGATGGATTTTGTCCATTCTCCTTCCCTAAACACGTCGTTTCCTTCTCCAAACAGATTCCACACAAGGTCCTTTATGAACACCTGGAAAATTTAAAACATACAAATAAAACAAAACATACAAAGTCCAGTAATATAGTAATACGTCTTTACACAGATGCAGGAAATTACATGTTGCCTTTTATTTTTTTTACCCAATAAATTAAAATAACGTCAAATTTGTTTAACTCAAATTTTGATGGAACTGGGTCACCGTACATTCAAATTTACACTGCTTACCTCATACTGCTCCTGACTCCCAGGAAATGGAAGGGTTGATCTAGAAGAAAGAAATAAAAATGAAATTACAAAGTGCCAGCCATTAAATAAATTATGTATGTGTGTGAGAAACTGTAAATTACATTAATTACACTGATCTTTTTTACCCTTTTTTTTTTTTTTTTTAAGTAAAACATCCTAAAAACTGTATTGAAACCAAACCATCCATTTTGTAATCGGAAGGTTGCCGGTTCGAGCCCCGGCTCGGACAGTCTCGGTCGTTGTGCCCTTGGGCAAGACACTTCACCTACCGCCTACTGGTGTTGGCCAGAGGGGCCGATGGCGTGATATGGCAGCCTGGCCTCTGTCAGTCTGCCCCAGGGCAGCTGTGGCTACAACTGTAGCTTGCCTTCACCAGTGTATGAATGTGAGAGTGAATGAATAGTGGAATTGTAAAGCGCTTTGAGGGGTCCCGAAAAGCGCTATATAAATGCAATCCATCATTATTATTATTATTATTATCATCATCATCATCATCATCTACTGGTTTGGTTCTGACTGTATTGTTAAGTTATACTAAATAGTAGTGACTGCCAGGAAGTAAAATTGTATTATGATTCTAATCAGGGTGTGGTTTATGTCACAAGCAGTTCACAAACCTACGTTTCATTTAGATGTCAACACAGACCTACAGTCATTATCAAGCTTAATATCATCAACAGTCATCAATTATTTGATGCAATGTTAAACTAGCTGGATAAATTGCTACACTAAAAGGTTCCATTGTGCCATTAAATGCTATCATGGAAAAGTTTGTCTTTTTTTTTCTCAAAGGCTGTTTTCCACTACAGCTGCTGCCTGGTATGTAGAGTTGCATTTCTTCTTTTAAACAGTGGAGTAGGAGGGCGATATATTCTAGGCAGTCCTTTCAACCAAGGCATGATGAGCTCCTCTGCATACAACAAAATACCACTTTGCTCGTTGCCATGTTTTTGAACAATTAAGTAATTAATGATTCGATGTGAAAAAATCTAAGTGGCAGACCTATTTTATTCATCTTTGTCAACTTTACACACACAGACTACATCACAGTGACGGCATTCACCATAGTATTTTAAGTATCACTTTTGTTTTAAAACAAAATGCCCTTGGTGGATTAGATGAAATGAAAAGCTAAACTGCTTTGCTCAGCTCTAAAACAACATGTGGTCATAAAGGAATTCTGCCTGATGCTTGAATACGAAGCTAGAAACAAAACTGAAGTAATACCAGTAATCGGCTGTCTCTCTTACCTCCAACTGATATTAACAATGAGATTGTGGTGGACTGTTAGTTACTCTTAAAGGGGGGGGGGGGTAGAAAGACAAGATTTTATTTTCAATCTGTTCCTTTACAATCATCCAATGGGTATTGTGTTATCTGACTTTAAGTATTTTAAGTAGCGGAATTTAAGTATTCGGGGTCTTGTTTGTGAGTCAGCAGAGAGGGGGGCGCGAGATCGACAGACGGATTGGCGCTGCAGCGATGCGGACACTGTACCGGTCCATTGTGGTAAAGAGAGAGCTGAGTGTAAAAGCAAAAACTCTCGATTTACTGGTTGACGTGCTTACTTTCACCTACAGTCATGAACTTTGGGTAGTGACTGAAAGAACGGTATCGCAGATCCGAGCGTTGAAAAATCAGCTTTCTCCAAAAGGTGGCTGGCCTCTCCCTTAGAGATAGGGTGAGGAGTTTGGCCATCTGGGAGGGGCTCAGAGTAGAGTGAAGAGCAAAATAGTGTTTTAAAAAAATAAAAAAAAATAGTGTAATATCATATTAAGAAGCCATGTGCTACATGCTTAAAACCTCAAGAAATGTATTTATATTGTGTGACAGGATTACACTGTAGGGGGGACGTCAGGGATGTCACCAGAATCAATACTACTTATGATTCCATACCAACATCCACAGGCGATGTATGCACAGAGGTGGCCATTCTTCTGAAACTGAAGAAGGCTATAAGTGTTCTAATCTAGCCAAACATGCTGAAGTAGAATACTAGAAACAAAGCCCACAAGCACAGGGAAAAATACAAATGGGACAGCAAAAACTACACTTGGAAGATGGCAAGTAGTGCAGCTCTGCTCCAACTCAAGAAAGGCAGATTCAGCTATGAGAGTACTTTGCACTCAAGGGTGGCTGACAAAGGGATAATGGTTCACTCTTAAAAAGCAGTGTTCAAATAAACCAAACCTTCCACGACACAATGGAGCTGTGATGTCAACTCTGAATGATCAGATTTAGGGCGTTAAGTTGGTGCATTGCATTGATGTCTCATTTATGTTAATGTTTGTACGATAATGTTTAGGTTTTTACAGTAATGTTTATGTTAGCTTACCTGTCGAAAAACTTCTCAGCATGATGCTTGCTAAGCGAACACTATGTAAATTTTGTTAGCCAATGAGTGATACGCAAGAGAAAACAATTAAACAGAAGTAGCTACAAACTTAAGTCCCCCCCTCACACATTAACATTTCTTCTGAATAGTCTTTCACCTATCTTTAGGTAGTTAATCTGTAGGTTGGCTCATGTCAATAATTATTTTGTTTAATTGACATTGAACACTACGCCATCTGAGAAACTATGATATATAACTACTTTTCTGATAAGTAACAGTTTTTTCTAATTCTGTTTTACTAGTATTAAGATGAGTTTCCAGGCTTTGCACCTCTCAAATGGCTGAAGTAATGACAGAGAGCATCTTTAGGATGGTTATCAGCATCTGGGAACATCATCTCAAAGATAAGAGCAAGCGTCACTCCAGAGCATGTTCACTGCAATCGTGAATTCATGAACTGGAAAGAAAATCTTTTTGATTTAATTTGAACCCTAACTTATGGACAGAAGCCGTTTTTAATTTCCTATTTGCACATTAACTTTTGTTTAAATCCTACTGGCAATTTAATTTGTATTACTAACCTTTAGTTGCAGCCCTAATGCTGATGTAACGTAGCTGTAATATTAGTAGGCTATTCTGCAAACATCCTAACATTTCAGTCTGTATTCTGTCAACACAACATGCATGCATTTTAAATAAAAGATCTGACTCCATGTTTTACAACAACTTTTTAATACATAGTTTGTTTAACTACATAAGAGGATCATTTTGTTTGAGTATTGAGAATCATGCGATTCTATTGAGTACTGACTACTAAATGTTTTGGTATCGTGGCATCACTATATATGTTAATGTCAATGATACCCAAATTCAAAGAAGGAAAAAGTGAGTCAAACTGATGTTAAAAAAAATGTATGTATGTATATGTAAAAATTCAAAAGTAACTTGTTTGAATACCCAAGTAATCTAATATTCTGATACAAGGATATAAACTATTATTGTCACTGATTCCTTTTGCCTATGAATTTTGAGCTTTTGGACCAGCATGTTTCTCCCACTGTTTCTGCCTTAACCTGGAGTAATGAGTCAATGAACCTCACCTCTGACCACAATACTGAGGAGAGTTGTTGAGGATCTCCTGAACCTAAGTAAGCACAGCTCATTACTCAAATTTTCTTTGAAGTGGGTGTAATGTTGTTAATGACTCGTAAACTTAGCAAATAAACTCTCATACGGTCTGACAATGTAATCAAAATGTGAGTGAAAGTCAGAGTGTTTTAGGACACTGGCATAACATTAGCTTACAGCCATCTGTCGTCAGCTGTCCAGAGACAGAAGGGCTGCAAGTCTGATGACAGCTAGTGACAATAACTTACTGTGACAACACTCATTATAAATAAACATTATATAGAGTTTTCTTTTGTTAGATCCCTAATTTGAAATCAAGAGATTTCCTCCTCACATCAAGGCTTGAAGTGAGGAGGAAGTCGATAAGGTGGAGACGAGGGAGGAGGCGGATGAAGAGAAAGATGATGAAAATTTTAATGTACGAATCTTAAATCATAAATGAGAGTGTGGTTTTGCAGACACGTGATCGCTTCCCATGTGACATGAACGTTTCGGCCATTTTAGATGTGTAGCAATCCTGACACGTCAAGTAAGTGAATAACCTACTAAACATTATTATGCTAGAACCCTATGTTTACTTTTAAGTATGGCAACTAACTTCAGTTCAGGAGTGGGGAGAAAGAGGATGAGAGCAATGAGCAGGAGAGAGTAATGGTTTAGGAGGCAGATAAAGAAGAGGCAGAGATATGAATATGAAAAAACAAACAAAAAAAACATACAAGTTATTAGATGTGATCTCTACCGGTTATCACATCTAATGAGGCGGACAGCTCTTGAGCAATATGCACATGACATCACATGCAAAACCATAATAGAATGAAAAACCACACTTTCACAGACCCTAATTTTTTGTATGTAAACAAACCAATAAGATGATTATCAGATTATCAAAATAGTTGCCAAAGCTGACCAAGACTAACTAATAAATGGCTCAGGAAAACAGTCACACACTGAAGAAAAAGAAACAAACCAGGGACACTTACTGGATGAACTGGAGGCCCTTTTGAATCTCCTGCCAGCGGGTCCTTCTGTCCAGACACGCTCCAGACATGTCTGCGTGTTTTGTCCCTTTCCCTCAGTCAGCACCTGAAATTGTATCAGAATCAGAAGATTCAGTAGAGTCGTTTTAAAATGACAGGTGAAAACTAAATAAATAAAAAATTACTTCTCATCATTGACTGGACACGGGCAGATTGTACTAACTAAAAAGCTGCTATGCTCAGTGTTAACCGTCAGTATATGATTTCAACTTATCAGGGGCTTCTTTGCCGCTTGCCTTCCATTATTTCTAGCTTCCGCATTTAGTAATGACGACATGCTTTTAGTTCCGGAAAGTGACGCTAAACATTTTGTTAGCTTGCGAGGTAATAACAGTAACAACAGAGCAGATACGGGTTAGTATAATGTAGAAGCCATAGAAAGCTACAAAACCTACACACCTGAAGAGTTTGACAATAAGCAGAGCCGTTAGGACCCATTTAAACTTAGCATCTGGAATCAAGCGCTCCATCATCGGATAGCTCATTGCCTCATGTAAATATTTTTGGGTTTGTCACGAATTTCATCAACACAAAGTGCACACTGTGTGCTAAACAATGTGCACAAGTCTTCGAGCATTTATCACCTTCTGACAGTACTGCGGCCACGGCGCATAAACCCGGTAAATGAAGCAGTCAACCCTGGATGGTCATAAATAACATGATATCACCTGTCATTTCTAAACATTTTCAAAGGCACTTCTTAATTGTGGTTGCTAATCGGAAGAGAATATGGGCTGCTACCGAGTCATGCGGACGGTTATACTAGCTTTAGACAGTCACCCGTTATGTTCCATTAACTTAACAGTCGGACCGAAATTAACTTTATTATTGCAGTGCTTTTGTGTTTAGACACGCTTTTTTTTCTTTCTAGCCACTAAGCACTCTCCTCTATATGAAGACAGCACTGTGTGGACAATACATTTATTTCAACAAAGTTTTACAGGAGAGGAGGGAAAGCGCTTCGTGAATATGTCCGATAATGGGCGCATAACAGTTAGCGCACGTGTGTTACCCGCGGCCAGGGACCGTCCAGTTCTCACCAGCCATCACCATCGGCTAGCAAATATTAGCAATTTTCATACTGTTCCAAAATATACCGAAGTGATACAACACACGTCTTCTATGTATGCTAGAAATACGCGGACGTTACCAAAAACACGACACTAGTCGCCTAAGTTTCTAGGAAGTAGACTGAACCTAACAAAGCATAGGCATGCCTAAGTTAAACTAGTTCCTCAACGCAAACAATAGCGAGGTGTAGCTGTTTAGCTGTAGCTAACACACAATAAATATCAAAGAAATGGATAAGAAGTAGCTGTCGTTCACACTTACATGAATGAGTCTTTATTCCGCACAAACCTTACATCGGCTATCTAAAGGGAGGGAAAGTGATTTTTCGTTATAGCTAAAATAACTTGGCTAAATGTGGGATATCGCTGAAGGCCGCCCTTTGCTTCTTTTTCTGCTCTGATGCAAGCGAGCGCAAACATCGAGTGCATTAGCTCTGGTGCCCCTACAGGCACTGAAAGGTTGTAGCAAGTAGGATTTAGGTGTGTGGCGATTAATAATAAGACAAAACACGTGGATATTTGTTTATTCTTATTAGCAACAACCTGTCCAAAGTGTACCCTACAGCTAGAATAGTCCCCTAATCATTGGAATCAGTGTAGCTTACAGAGATAAACTTTTATGTTTTCGACTTAAGTTTTTTTTTTGTTTTTTTTATCTTTTTTGTTGTTGTTGTGATTTTTAACCAATACATTAAAATATACATATGCAGCAATTATAGCTAACTGTATAATCTGCATATAATTTTACAATATATTATATAATAAACTGATTGATTCTTTTTTCTTTCTTTTTTCCCCTTCTCTCAATCCATACATGGGGCTCACCATAATTCTAAGATTGTCAGTACTTCAGACTCTCTCTAATGCATATACATTGGCAAGACACCCACTTTCAATCTCCTTACAATCTACAAAGCACAACATTTCAGACCGCTGAGCCCGAGGCATCCACAGCTCCTCTCCATCAACCCTTGTGCAAATCTTTCTTTGACAGCGCGTTTCCTCCTTGAATTTATCAGCACACAGAGCATTTAAAAATAGAAGTGTGGCTCAAAAACTAGAGGGAGGAGCCCATAAGAGACTTTCATGTGATAGAGGTAAAATAAGGTTCACTTTTTCTCGGAGCAACCTGCAAACAGCTCAAGTTGAGTGATTTGGAGACAAAGTTGGAGAGGCAAGGTTGGGGTACTCTGGACATGTGGAGAGGAGGGATGGTGGTTATATATTGAACAAAGGACATTGTATATGGAGCTGCCAGGCAGGAGGAAAAGAAGATAAGCACAGAGATTCATGGAAGTGGTGAAAGAAGACATGTAGATGATTGGTGTAACAGAGGAGGACATTAGGGATAGGATGGGAACAACTTCAAAGAAGAAGAAGAAGACTAAAAAGCAGTTTAAAAAATATGTTACTCCACTGTAAATGAAAAAAAGAAAAAATAACTACTAGTGGTCCACTGCTTCACATTGAGCTTCAC